AGGGACGTATGAATAAAAAAGAGGGCCCGCAGGCGGCCGTGACGCCGCGCCGCATTGTCGTAGTCCTCGTCGTCGGCCGGCGACATCACCGAACGTCGTGAAAATTCCACGAGGCCGGTCTACTGATCCATGGGAAAATGATGTGCTCGTTTATTACTTTACGACGACGCTCTACTCTTCAACTGTGACTGAATAATCGGAATACAGGATCGAGAGATGTGTTGAGTGAGACAAAAGTTATGTTTTTTCAATTTTTTTGAAGAAAAAATTATCGACACTCGTCGTCAGATCTAGGCACGTCTCGAAGTTAAACGAAGCGTGGAGATGTCATGTCGGATGATTTCTTTGATAAGAAAAAGAGACTATATATATATATATATATGTATAGATGATTAAACGGAAGCGACGAAGAGTTGTTTGTCTTGAGAGAGGACAAGGAGGAATAAAAATTGCAAACGAAGTTCGTTTTTGTCCGAATCTCCACGCTCGAGGAGGAATTGGAGAATATTTCTCTGAAATATGGGGACATTTTGGATTAATTCTTTAACGAAGCCAACCGTGATGATTAAACAGGGGAAATAGAAATGGATTCGGACCAAGAATTGTTTATCTCGCGAGAAAGAGAGAGAGAGAGAGAGAGAGAGCAAAGTACAAGAGGGTTGAATAAAAATTGCAAATGAGCTTCGTTTCTTCTTCGTCGAAGTTGTTATCGCGTTATAGTGGAAGCGTTGTCCTTCTTGAGAGTCATTTCGCACCGGGTCTCGCGGGTAATTTGAAGGAATGAAAGCGGGTAAGGAGACGCGAAAGAATCATGGAGGCTTTGCCTTGCGCTTCTAACTGCGAACGAGGCTTTATCAAACTCGCGATAAACCTTGGTCGCTCTTTAATAAAGATATCGTTGCACAAATCGTGTAAAATTGTTCCGCAATACGTATCGCGATTCGATCGAGATACAACGAGAAAATTGCGGGGAAACGTATCGATAACTTCCCCATTACTCGGGGAGCGACTTTCGAAGTTTCAACATTCGTAAGGACAATGAACTTAAGAAAGGAGAACTTTTTCGATTCTTCTTCGCCCTCTTATTTTTCCAAAGAAAAAGTGACCGCGCTTTCAGATTGCATCGGGAAAGAGTGAGATCCGATTTTTCGTTCCGTGTACTTTAAAAATAAATCCAAGGGACGGGGAGAATTTATTCGAAGCGAGAAACCACGAGCGAGCGAGATCTCGGGTCTCGCTCTGATAACGAAATTATATTGTTTTTCACCTCGTATCTCTGCCGCTGGAAGGTTGCAATAAAGCAGAATAAGTGAGAAACCGGCGAAACCCGTGTTTCCTCCATTCTCCAGTCCCCGAGATTCGAAATAAGAAGGGACAAGAGGCGAAATAAAAGCGCGATGAAACCGTTCTTACTCGTTTTTTACGAGCACGCGACATATGTCCCGTTTCCCTCCCACGGTAATCGTCACTTTTCGGTGATTCGTAGGGACGACGGTGGTCTTTCTGGTGGTCAGGTGTATAAATAAATTCGAGAGGGAAATCCCATATTCCAATTCTTTCACTCACGTTTCAAGACACCTCGCTTTTGGAAAAAGACTTTCCACTCGTCCTTCGTTACTTTCGAGATCCGATTTTCCGAAAAATCTTTCAATCTTTTCTACGGCAAAGTATCGAGGATTCTTTGAAGGAACCAAGCACGGAAGAACGGGAAATAGACTCGACCAACGACTTCAACTCCTTTTGACGAGTGTTTCCGTGCAGTCATAACTCCATCTTGTATAGATCTTTATTTTATTTTCTTTTATTTTTTTCCCCTTCCGTCTCTCGCCAACGATACAACAGATGTCGCTACTGACACTCGTCTTTCGAATATCTTTTCGACGTTATTTCTCGCTGCTTCCACGATACAAATACAAATTTCTCGCAGGGCAATGCGAGAATCATCGTTGAACGTTAAATCGATCCAATGAAAGAATCATACAATTCTGGAACTCGTTACCGAGTCGTATCGCGGTATTCATGGGAGAAAAAAATAAGGGTAGAAGAGAGAGAGAGAAAAGAAAGAGCTCCTTATTATCGTCCAGATGGTACGTACGTACAGTGGGCGTTGTTGTTTTCAGACCGACAAGCTCGCGACACGAACTACTGCCGCAGGACATTCTTCAGGCTGAAGTGGTCGGACGTAATGGAAGCTGCTCCGAGTACCGACCGCAATGCCCCGTGGGACTCTTCGACTTGATTGGAGTCCTCGGTTGAGCCCAGAAAAACCACCAAGGTGTACCGCCGCTTGCACTCCGATCGGGTAAACAATTCGATTTCACGCTTCCACTTTCACGAGATACCTCCCTGTTCCAGTTTCCAACGATGCTTGGAATATCGTAATGGATTGATCGTTTCCACGATCCAACGATTTATCATAAACTACAAGAAAAGTTTAAATAGGGACGACCAACTTTTTTTTAACTCGACGAATCGCGTTTAAAATTGAAACTAAATAATGTAAGTAAATGTAAAAAAAAGTCGAGATATCAGTTCGAACGATTTGTTGCAAAGAAGAAAAGAAAATTTGAAATGGAATTCGATGTCATTAAATATCGTTGATTCTAATTCTTCTCGATAAGATCTATGAATTTACGTCTAAAAAATGAATAATAGTAAAAAATATTGTTACACTGTTTCTATAAGAAATTGTTAAAAATTGTATTGATTTAACAATTTTTTTTTTTT